CGCTGATCTCACACCGCCTGAAGGACATCTCCGCGTGGATGACAGATCCTCACCTGCAGCTCAGTCTGGCAGCAGAGCTTCTTGTCCTCCCTGCAGCTCTGGCTGTACATCTTAATTTCACTGTCCAGCTGTTTTCATCTATGTTTATTCCTTCTAATTCCCTCTGAACCAAAAACTCAGTAATATGTTGAGTGTGTGTTTTTTTAAGACTGCACAGAGAAGCATTATAACAGGATCTTAAGATGTATTTAGTTTGATAAATCAGCGCTGCTTGCTTCAAGGACATGATTTCTGTAGGATCTATTCATATCAGCCACACTCTAATTTTTTTCCGGGAGTCTCCCGTATTTCATACCTATCTCCCGTTTTGTTCTGTTTCCTAGAAAACTCCCATAACTCACCCCACCTCCTCCGGATGGCCGACCTTGGTATAATATCTAATCCCAGCGGCTGCCTGAAACCTGGCCCACAACCGGCCCCACGCTCAACAGTTCACCTAGACATCCCCATCACTCTGCGCCCATTCTCCTCCCAAACCAACACCACCCCACCCCCACCCCAAGCCTCAGTTATCTTGATTTTCAGAGACAAATGTTGGCAGGTATGGATCTAATTAGGATGACAACTCCCATGATTCCACACACAGTCATGACCTCATCAAACTATGCCTTTGTTGGTTGTGAATAGGTGGTGAAAGGGCTTAGTGGTGAAAATGACATACTGCACCTTTAATGTGAGTACAGCCTCTTTATAATAAAATCGATTAATGACTTCCTCAGTCTCTTTAGTAGATAGAAGTGTTTGCTAAATGTAAATTGGGTTTCCAACCCAGGCTCATTCTGAAAACGTAGCCCCGCGGACGTTTCTGAAGACCGCGATTGACGTGGCTGGAGGTACGTATGGCTGACAGCTCACCTTCTTGTTGAGGGCTTCCCCTCCATAACCAGTTTGCCCCGCTAGCTTGTCGTGTACGTCGGCTGAGAGAAGAGCCAGAGGGGAGCCGACAGTGATGACCGGGTTCGAGTCCGGGGAAGAGCGGTTCCAGAAATCAGGTAAGACAAAAACAGAATCCAAAATATAAAGTGAACGAGTGAACAACATGGCAAGAACATGATGAAATCTGAAAACGTGGTCAAAATCAGACAAGGACTTTTCTTTTTCTGGATGGCTTTTGTAAATCGTCGCTTGGGTTTAGGGAAGCAAGCGGGCCTGCGGGTTGGCGGGTCAATCGGTAAAACCGGTTGGGTTTAGGGCAGGAGGAGGAGGGAGGGTCGGCTGACTGGCCGGTCGCCCAGTCAATCATTCGGTGAGTTGGACTGACGGTCACTCGACAGTGGCCTCTGGCGGCTTTGGCGCTCGCGAGAGGCGTTCGAGACGTGAAAACGTGCACAGCGGCCTCTCGTAGATTCGCGAAAACAAAAACTTGCACAAATACGTACCTCCATTGACTACGTTTACAGAATGAGCCTGGGTTGAATGTTTCCATCTTTCACCCATTTACACTTTTTAAAGAATTTATCTGGATGTCCCTTAACCATGTCCCAACCTGACCAGCTAAGACCAGGCTGTAAATGGCTGTAAACCAGTCTGGAAATGGCCAAAACCCCTCTAAAACCAGCCAACCAGCCTAGGATTTTTTAAGCTGTTTTTTTCAGCCTAGGCTGGTTTAAACTATTTTTTTTCCTTATGAATTGACTCTGAAGACTCTAAAATATTACAAATAGATCAATATATAAAAAAGAGATTAGGTTAATTATTTGGTCATTTATCCAATAGCTGGGTCATTATCATTATAAAGCGCCTTTGAGATTTTCAATTTAACCACACATTCGTCAATTAAACATTGGGGTGTTAGAAATGAATGTTGGTTAAGCTCCAGCATTTTATATAAATAACTACAGGCAGACAAACCGTAAACAAATTATGAGGTCAACCTTTCAAAAACTTTCAAACAATGTTAACTGCCCCTTATAGGTTAATTAGTAGATCACACTATATTTTGCTAAGTTTATATGTTATATTAGTTTATTTCCATAAAGGTTGAACATGACAGGGGGTGGACAAACGCTTGAATTGGGAAGTAAAAAATGAAGTACATTTGTAAAACAACAGTTACAAGAAACTATTAAGCAATGTAAAATAGCTCTATCATTTTAATTATCCTTGAATGATAGAATGAGATGACATCTTAGCATACAGTAATTTGTCATTTGATTCAAGCTGTATTTAAAAAAAAAAACATTTAATTGACACAACGCTAACTGAGTCATAGGCTACAATAAAAGTGTGTTTTCCATATTATGAGCCATTATAGTTTCCAATACCTTCATGATGTAAATATGATATCAGTCGAGCATATGTAAAGATACAAATCTGAAGTATTTGCAAGCAAGAACCTGATCTCTTTAACATCAAATCTGAGGCGAGGAATAAACGCATTACAGTCTGCTGCCGCCAGAGGTCGCAATTAGATAAAGGCAGGTCAAATCTTTAGCATTTGGACAGTAGTTGGATCACTGCTGCCTTAATATTCTCTATCACACTTTGATAACTATTGTCCAAAATTAACATTATTAGACATATAACTACAAATAAGAACTAATTCTGCTTCATTTAAACGTTTCTTGGAGTATCGCGAGTTTTTAATCTACATGTACTGACACTTTAATAGATTGTACTTCAAGGAAAAGCAACACGAATGTAGAATAGTTTGGTATATCTAAATGTCCTGATGTCATTGAGGTACTACGTTTTTTCCACTTTGTTTAATCATGTCATTTCTCAAATTTCATTTATTAATTCAATTGCTTAGTCTCTTTATTAATCAGGGGTCGCCACAGCGGAATGAACAGGCAACTTACGCCCTTCCAGCTGCAACTCATGACTGGAAATTCTCAAATTTCATTCATTGTTAATTGTTTCAAATAATATTTTGGTCATGAAAGCTTTCATAATTCTCCATTTTGATACTATATACATTACAAATACGTCGAGATCTTTTTTTTGTTTGTTTTGACCAAGAGAAACATTTAGATGCTAAAAATTACTGAAAGAAAAATAAACGTAAATTATAGCGCCACCTTGTGTCAGATAAATGTGTTCATTTGGGACCATCGAACCAAGTTAGTGGTTATTACAGTATAATAAAACTGATCAAGCTAATTAAAATGCTTAGCCCCTAAACCAGTCCATTAGCAGGTTAGCATACATCCTGAACACTCAAGAGAACTTTTCTTAAGTTCTCACTGCTGTTTAGCCTATCTATAATATGCAAATTTTTATGTTTTAATAATTATATGAAGTATTTATTCAGATAATAATTTGTATAATGTCTAAAAGGTTAATTCATTTATCTATGCATTTTTATTAGGCCTATATAAACGTAGAGATTATATTACAATCTATATTAATTGCATACAATTATTATGATTTTGTATTTACTATATTTAACATTTAGGAACTGATAAACACTTATCAGCTGCATTTATTTTCATTTATTATTTGTAATTTTACAAATCTACTTATTTAGCTAAATGTATAAGCATATGTTTTACACAGTGGATGCCCTACCCATCACTGGGGAAAAAATGCATTATTATAATTAGAATGATTTATTTTGAATAATAATTAATTAGATTTTATACATTTATTGTTTCTAACTAATATATACAGTTATAGAATGCTTTATATAAATAGTATTTTAAATATATTTCATTGATTACTTTTAATATGCAGTTCAAATATATTTAGCAAAAATACTCCAGTTAGCTTATGGAGGATGAAAACTGCACAAACAATAAATAAATAAGTCAATATAAGCGAGTAAATAAATACACAAATTCCTGCATAAATAAAACAATACATAAATAAATATGCAAATAAATAAAAGTATATAAAAATCAACAAATTCCTGCATAAATAAATATTTAAATAATTAATAGTGTGGGCAGGTAAATAATTCAATAAAATACAGGAATGTTGGGGAAATAAGAATATGCTAAACTGAAAGTTTTTCCCCCTATCCCCAACCAATGCCCCATAATATTTATATATTTATTTATGCAGGAATTCATGGATTTATTTACTCATTTTTATTTTTGCATATTTATTCATTTATTAACATAATTTTTTTTATATAAATTAATTAATTTATTTGCATATTTATTTATTTATTATTTTATTTATACAGAAATTCATGGATTTATTTACTCATTTTATTTTTGCATATTTATTTATTTATTATTTTATTTATGCAGGAATTTATGGATTTATTTACTCATTCATTTGCAAATGTATTTATTTATTATTTTATTTATGCATGAATTTATGGATTTATTTGCTAATTTATTTATTTATTTATTATTTTATTTATGCAGGAGTTTATGGATTTATTCACTCATTTATTTGTATATTTGCATATTTATTAATTTATTATTTTATTTATGCAGGAATTTATGGATTTATTTACTCATTCATTTGCAAATGTATTTATTTATTATTTTATTTATGCAGGAGTTTATGGATTTATATGCTAATTTATTTATTTGTTTATTATTTTATTTATGCAGGAGTTTATGGATTTATTCACTCATTTATTTGTATATTTGCATATTTATTAATTTATTATTTTATTTATGCAGGAATTTTCGGATTTATTTACTTAATTATTTGCATATTTTGTTATTTATTATTTCATTTTATTTATGCAGGATATTTTCAGATTTATTTACTCATTTATTTGCATATTAATTTATTTATTGTGTTTGCAGGTTTCGTCCTTCACATTAGCCTACCTTTATGATCATAAACGTATTCGTGTTCATATAATAGATGATATATTTATGCACATACTTCATTAGATTGCTGAAATGTGTCCTTTTACTCAAGAATCCTCCCTGAGAGCAGCGCACAGGTTGTTGTAAGCGAATCTGTTATTCGCACCGGTCCATGCTCATCTTAAAATAAGGCAAGCATAACAGGAGGGCTGTGGCGAGGGGGGGCACACACAGAAAATATAGACATGTTACACTCACAATGTCAAAAGAGTTAGTTGGCCACATTTGTCCTGCGACTGTCCGCGTTGCTGTTCCAGCGGTTCTCTAATCCTGTATGTAAATGACAGCCAATAGATGCTGTTGTTGAGTTGGGCTGGGATTAGCGGAGGCGAATGACTTTCAATTTTACTGGATTACAGAACAAAGAAAGGGGAAAGGGGACACACTCCTCTGTTAAAGAAAACAGAGAGAAAACCGGGCAAACTCATCAAATAAATCACACCGAATGCTTTTCGACAGACTACAGACCTTTCGAGATTATGACATTTAGCAAAGTCGCTGTCGCCTTTCTTTAGATGGGAATTCGGCTCTCACTGTTGGATTAAACGGAGAATAAACCTATTCCGGGATTGACAGCATAAGGTAATTAAACACGGGGAAACGGGGAAGGATTAAACATCATAATGTTTGTGTGTGTACGACAAAACACTTAGGAGTGTCTTTCTTGAGCACGTGACTTTTTATGGATGTTGAAAAAGTGAAATTACAGATTATAATTTAGGGGGGAGGAGGATGGCTAGTGGTGTTAGCACACTGGCTATCATGCTAACGCGAATGTATGACACTCGACGCGATGTTTTATGGGCTTTTAAGAAAGTAACACGCGTTGTTTTGCGATATGTGTGAGATAAGCAATTATTCGACGCGGTTAGGGGTTTTGTCGAACTGCAGTTGCATTTTTCGCGATTGTTTATTTTGTAAAAACGACAACAAATTGAGCGTTAGCAAGTTACCGAAACAGAGCAGTTGCATTGTTAGCTGGGTGATAAATCGATTGTTTGTTTAAATTCATATTTAATGCAATGTGATTAAAATTGCAGTCTTTGGCGTGGCAACGGACGCGTTTGTCTCCCGGAGAAGGTCATGTTTACAATGTCAAATCCACCTATCAGTGGCTGCTAATCTGCGTCTACTATAGATTATGCGTAACCGAACGCGTCCCAGTTAAGTTTGCTGCCGAGTAATAATATCACATGTCTCAAAACTTGCTCGGTTTTCCTCGAAGGACTTCTCCACTGTCAGATCCATTCACGAAGACAATGAGAGTTTATGATTTATGTCACGCTGTCCCATTATGAGTCTATAACTGAAACACGAACTGTCCCAGAATTACTTGCTGTCAGATTGGGCCTCTTTGTCACACATACTCTATATTTATTACAGTGATAACAACTGTCTGTGTTTCTTTTTTTTTGTGGCTTTTTTCACCCTCATTTTATATGTCTGTCACAGTACCAAATCTTTACTGTGTTTACAAGAGTAAAGGTATGCTTAAAATCAAAGATTAATGTTTCTGCCAACTGAATATGTAATACTATTGTTAATAAGTATGATGGATATGAAATATTCCAGTAGGCACACAATGTAATAGGACTGTAATAATAGGTTATATTTAGGTAATGACATCAGGTAACTAAAATTCAATGCATTGCCAGTGTCTAAGGACCACGTTATTTTAACGTCCAATAACGACGTTAAATGGCGTTGAAATTTGGTTGATTTTAGGTTGTGTTGGAAAGTGACCCAAATCCAACATCGAGCCAATATTGACTTCAAATACTGACATTTATTTGTCAGGTATGGCAACCAAAATCCAACGTCTGATAGACGTCACATTGGTAACGTCCACACAACATTAAGCTGTAACATCATTAGACATTGATATTCGGTCGATTTTAGATCGTGTTGGCAAGTGACCAAAATCCAACATCTTAAACCAACGTCATATTGACTTCAAATGCTGACATTTATTTGTCAGGCATGGCAACCAAAATCCAACGCCTGATAGATGTCATAGTGGTGACGTCCACACAATGTTAAGCTGTAACATCATTAAACATTGATATTTGATTGATTTTTGGTTGGACGTTGGACATTGATGTCGGCCTGACATTGGGTTCTGGTTTCATTTCCGAACTAAATGCAAAGTCACACGATGTTGATGTACAACGCCAATCTGACGTCATGTTGACGTCTTGTGCTAGCACTATTTAAAAAGCATGAACAACAGCAGTCAACAACAACAAAAAAGATACAGATGGCGTTTTGCTCTTTTTTTTATAAACTGTTTAAGCTTTATTTTATGATTGTTGCAATGTTTAATATTTAATTGAACAGACCTGTGGATCTTTCAAGCTTCTAATTCAGTCACTAACAGAAAGTACCATGTTTTATGGACTTATGTACTGTGGTATTTGAATGACATTGTAAATGCAACTGCATATGAGTGTGGTAATGATATGTATATGATTTCATTATCTTTTAAAGGCTTGATACCAGTTTATTATAGCTCATAATATTGAAATGTGAGCATTCTGTTTAAATGTGCTGCGTTTTACATAGCTGAAACATTATACAAAGCCTTATTGTTTTGTGTCTGAACTTTACATGATAATGTAGTTAGTTGCATCTAATTACATTTAGTATGGTCAGTCAGTTGCCTTTCCTCAACCATGTAGCTAATATACAGATAAAACCTAGTGAATTTGACCTTAACATATTTTGATAAACATAGTATCATGTTTTTTTTTTTTCAAATACCTTAAAGTAGCTTATAAAGACAGTTGCATATGAATAAGAAAACCATTCAGTACAACGTTGCTTTGAAACTTTGTTCATTCATAGCTCGTTATATTGAAGTGAACAAATGACATTCGAATGTGTTATTTATCACATTGCAGAATAGATGTTTTCTTCTGCTCTTGAAACAATTTCATTGTTAGTTGCATTTTGTTATTAATATTTAGCATTCATTCACCAGTTGAAAAGTACAGCATTATTACAGTATTACAGTGAATATTCTTCACTAACTAAATGTACCATGCTTTACCAACATAGTGACATTCATGAATACCTTAAAACAGTTTAAATACAATTGTATATGTCAGATTTATTGTGTTATTGTATAAATTGTATAACACATCCATTTAGTGTATTCGAAAATTAGTTACAAATTCACACAGTCTCTTTGATATAAAAATGTGTGTTTTTTTGGAAGTAACGTAAACATTCGAACAGGTCGAACATTTACAAATGAGCTTGTACTAATTCAAAAACTGAGGCATTACTTTGCCAAAAGCGTAGACATATCATGATTAACAGGTGTTTTTACATTTACTTTTATGATCTCTTCTCTGACAGCATTTGATGTTAAAAATGTTGACTTTACAGTTTAACAGTTTTTGGATAGTTCAATAATATCGAGTAAGATGTTATAGATTAGGGCTGCACGATTTAGAAAAAATCTGACATTGTGATATTTTGATTTTTTACTAAATATATTACAATATGAATACAATGTCACCAGAGGACTTGAATAGCTATATTTAGAAAGAAGTCATTCATTTATATTGATTGGGGTGATTTTGTAAGGGTGTAAATCATGCATAAAAAATAATAAACAAATTGCAAGCAAGTGCAGTGGAGCGACAAAAAATTGAAATAAAAAGTGTTTTATAGATTTCTGTAGAGCCAAACAGTTTTCCGGTATAAAAAGTGAATTAAGGAATGTAAAATAACTCTTTATAATCTTTATTGTGCTAATTCAGTAAAATGATTCTTCATTACACTTACAAAGGAGTTTTTTTGTGCCTGAATGCTTTAAAATAGTGTTGAACAATATATAATTTGAGCATTGTGTGTCCACAACAGTCAAATATCAAAATTGGATTGTTTTTTTAAAGATATAAAAAGTTGAATGTATTTTTAAAGATAATTTATATAACGACGACCATGTTATTTTACGTTTTATTGGACTTGATTATTGTTACGCTCAAAGGATGCACAATGATGCAGAGATTCACTCGGTTATGGTTATACTGTGCAATGACTCCACAAATTGTATGTATTTTTAGCTGTTGTGCTGATCAACTTTAATCCCAGCTCAACATTGCAGATCCTGCGAAATTGTGTTGACCGTATGATAACTGCTTTCACGGTTTTACTGTGGTTTGTAAAAGCCAAGTTTTTAATACAGCTAAACTTTTTTGTCATACCATTTCTAAGGTATACGTAAGTTTTTTATTTTATTTTTTTAACAACTACTTCATTTAGTTTTTTAACCATTTAACCGCACGTCGTTACATGATGCACAAATACAAATTTAGTTTTATTTGCTTATTATTTGTATTTATTTTTCATTCATTAAAATCAAAAGTATGAAGTATTTTTAGAAACATAAGAGCATTTTCACACACCTTGTAGGTGTCAGCTTTTTGTATCTGTGTTTTATTTCTCTAGACAGAAAAAAAATTCCTTTTTGTGATTGGTCATGTTTCGCGCTCATTTGTGTACTGTTTTCTGATTTACAGTAAATTAAAAATATTGTATTTTAATGGCTTTAAGAAGATATTTCCCAAATCGCAACTTCAAAATACAGCGACATCATGCATAACAGTCATACAGTAAAAGCATTACAGTTAAATACAGTGTAGTTTACAGAAATTTTAAGAGTGTATCTCAAGTAGAAAAGGAAATACACATCAGACCTGAACAGTGCAGTGGCTTAATTTATATCCAAAGAAAAGAAAGATATCAAAGATGCCTTTTCAAGTTGTAAAGAAATCTGTGTTTTTGAAATTAATGAAGATAGCAGAAGGCCATGATTTATTTTAATTATTTAGCCTGACATGTTTACGCCTCCAAATTGTTTTAAATGCTTCCTAAAATAAAATATATTGTGTTCAATGGTGAAAAATGTTGTTTTTACCCAGACAGTTGAAACATAACATATTTTAGAGCAGGAACTACAATACTGTGAAACTGTGATATTTTTATCCAAGGTTATTATCATACAATCAGAATCTTTTACCGGCTCATGCCTAGTTGACAGTTCCTAATTTCGAAATGATTGCATTCTGTTTATAACAGGTCTTTCAATCCTCATCTATTTGAACACTGATACATTTTTGAACAGAACTGATTTTTTCCCAGAGTATTTGCAGTCTGAAATGTGGCTGAATTGTTTGAACATACACTCTGTAAAACCCCAAAACTTAAGGTAACTCAAACCATTTAAGGAAATCGAATGCAACAAACTATTTAACTTCAAAAACTAATCCTAATAAGTACTGTAAACTTAATCCATTTGAGTAAACAAAGCAATCTAAGCACAGTAAAGCCCAATAAATGAAGAGAACTCAAACCAACTGAGTACTGTAAAACCCAATAAGTTAAGGCAACACAAACCGTTTGAGGAAACCGATTGCTATAAACCAGTGGTTCTCAAACTTTTTTCACCAAGTACCACCTCAGAAAAAAACTGTCCCTCCAAGCACCACCATGATGAGCAGTATTGAAATACAGTAGCATAGTAGGCCTAGTAAAGCAGCTACAAATCTTAAAGTTTAAAATCATGACAGATT